CCGTTGCACAGCACTTGCCTGAATTTCCAAAGCCCTGTCTCGCCAGGGTCATGGCAAACAGTGAGGAACAGATCTGCTCTTTCACCAAGGACTACTTCTTCATTCAGCTGATCACTGATTAGGCAAAATAACTGCATGTTATAATTATGACAGAGTCTAATGGCTGTGCATGATGGAGAGAAAGTTCAAGACCTAAAGCTGATATCTAAGCACCCACTCTCACAGATTCTTGTAAGATTCCAAAAGTAGTTTTGATGATTTTCACCATTTCTTTAACAGCTGCACTGTCTGAGCTGTTCAGAGTTTTTGTGTAATAGCTTTAATGTATTTTGCTGCTTCTTTCTGCTCATTACAGATGAAATGCCTGAGCCATATTCATTCAGTACCACAGAGAAAAGAGAAACAAAGAAGAAAAGAGAATAAAGGTCACTGTCAGGCCAAGATCAAGTCTGGAAAATTTCAGCTTGAGACACAAGCACTTCAGGAAGTTATAAGCAACTGAAACAATAAAGGAATTATAATTGAAACACTGCAAGTATTTTAACTATAGCTCTTTCCGTGCTAACCAAGTATTATTTAATGTATTTCAGCAGCATTCAGAAACTCTTCTCAACATGAATGATCTGTGCTATCAAGATCACTCCCAAGCCCCTTGGAAAAAAGAGATGATTGGTACCGGCCACAGCTGCAGCTGATGGAGATCAGCACAGCTCCCTCATTTCCAGTTACATCAGTGAGTCACAGGAAAAGCGATAAAAAGGAAACAAACCAAAACTTGTAACAGCTGATCTAGTTTACTTCTGCATTGCTTCCCTCCCAGCACAGAAGGGTGTCTCTGCCAGGCTCTCACTAGAGCAGCTGATTGAAGTGTGGCCTATTCTGATGCCTCCTGCAAGGCTACATTTCTCCAGTTGAAGAGAACTGGACGTGCAAATCCCAAATTCAGTGGGTTTGTTCCCAACTCCTCTGAGCACATTCCCATCATGTCCTTGCCTTGCTCCTCATAGGAGGGCCATGAATGGAATGAAGCCTAATCAAAATTACCTCTGACTCTCCAGAACATATTTAGAATTGTGAACAGGATAAATGCACCTTTATTTTTCTCTTCACTACTCCAAACACAGAATCTAGAAAGACATCCTGTAACTGCTGAATTCCTGTAGAGGTAATCCTAGAATGTTCATTTTTCCAACCAGTGCTCTGCTAAAAATTTCAGACATCAATGAAAATTCTGTGTGCCATCTCAGGAATTTAACTGTCTACATCTACTATTAAAAAAAAAGTTTCAAATTCACTCTACTTGACTTCAATTAACAAGTGTTTTTGAAGGGCAATACATTGAGTTTCTAATGTGTCTAACACTGTGATTCTAATTCTAATGTGTCTAATAACACTGTGATACTGTGTTTCAGTCAGAAACTAGGTCATAAACTTCTCTATTGGAAAGCGTTTATAGCTGCTTGGACGGGATTATTCTGTTCAAGAGGTTATAATAATAAAGGAAGCTTGCAAGCATACTTTTTCCAAACTCTTGGTAGGTCAATGCCAGTTTGGGAAATTGGCTCATTATTTATCCTTGTTTGGCTTCTTCAATTTCAATTTCTTGTTTGTTTTGACCTAATTCTGGACAAATATAAAACTTACTGTTTCATTTAATTAACAGGAGGGAGACTATAGAAAAAAATCTCTCATTTATTCCAGTTCCAGAAGCAGCTTTACAAAAATATTGTCAAAGTTTCAAGAAGCATTCAGATATTAAGAGTCCTGCCAAAGTTTACAATCTAGTTATATCCTGCTACAGAAAAAAAAAGAATATATTAAAAAAAAAAACAACAACAAAAACAAACAAACCACAACCCTGCTGTTTTTATAATTTTATACAAATCTCTGGCAAGAAACAAGCCACCTCCACATATTCACATGCATTCAGAGGATCTGTGGATAAGCCTTATTCTCCTTAGTCTAATCATGTTGTCCAACTTATTTTCTCCATTTCCAAACTCTCTTAACATATTTTTCTCAGCAACTCCTTCCTGTACAGGAAAACAAATCATATTTTTCCTTCTCCCCACCACATCTCCCTTTTGAAGGCTTAAAACAGCCAGCAAACAGTTCACCCACAGTTCTAGTATTGCAAAGCTTTTTCATTTGAGGTTCCTTCTTTTGGCTTTCCATTAAATACCTGGTCAATTTGTACCACAATCAAGTTCACTGTCCATCAGCCTCACAAAAGGGATTCAGGTGAAAACCTTTGCCCATTTTCTGTAGACTCGAGGAACAAGGTGCTCAACAGTTTTCTCTAAGTGACCTAGCTGGCTTCGCAGTCTTTTACATGTTTTTCTATGAGTCATCAGAATGCACACAGTGGAGTCATCATGAAGTGAAATAGCCTTAAATTATATGCTACATCCAATTTGCCCTTATCTCATAAGGATTTATCCCCAAATATGGACACACAAGGGAAGATAAGGGCACTTGGGATAGGAAAAAAGTGTACAAAATTCATCTGGTTCTGTAATCACTTATTAAGTCCAAGATCTCCACTGTTTTTAACAAAAACAAAACTCAAGCGCAAAAATAAACCAAACTTCTATCCAGCTGCATAAATTCTGTCACCCAAATATTCTCTGCCAAGAAGGAGAATCAGTGTAATTAAATTATTCTCCTTCAACGGGTTCTAAGATTTTAGCCAAGAGCTGTTTTAGTTTCTGCTTGCTTTTACAGAATTTGAAATGCCTTTACACTAAAAATGTCATATTCTGAATTCTGTAGTTAGCACATTCAGAGTCTAAAATTTTACATTTTCAGAGGCCCATCTTCACCCTTTTCCAGTTCAGCAATGCTACCAAAATAGTTAAGATCATATATGTTGAACAGTGTGTTTCTGAGACTCCATCTTAGCAAGTCAGACAGATTTATGCAATATTCACACTTCCTTCCATAGTCTCAACATATCAGGTGCAATATGTACAGTCAGGCACTCAGTGCAATGATTTTGCTGCAAAAGCATCATTGAGAAATTATTTTTTTCTTTGTCCACCTAAAGTTTCTGTGAACCCAAAAGCAATGTTTTAAATGTGCAAAAGAAAAACAACAGAAAAAATATAGTTCCGTTCTGATTAATGGTCCTATATTTTAATGTCTTGCTGGGAGACTCAACCCACTGAGTATGTATTCTCAGAATATTTTAAATTTATGGTAGTTTCTTCTACACAATCTTGACTACTGTCAGGAAAAAAAAAAAATGGCAAGATGACTGCTTAACAGATGACATAGCATCTTCTCTGTTGCTTTCTGTAACTCTAGGAGGTACAGAACATAAACCCCAAATTGCTATTAAAATCATGGGAAATAAACTAAAAGATGAAAGCAAGACAGGTCTGAGCAGCTGCCTCAAACCTATTCATTAGGAAGGCACTAGCAGTGGGAGGGCCACTGAAGGCCTGCAGTTGCATTTCACTTCAAGGAGATTTTAGTCTAGCTGCTTTTTAAAGTCTTCTTAAAGTTCTGCACCCATCATCCTTTCCTACCACCTCACTGGAACAGAAAAGGCTCAGCTCTACTCCTGACTGTCCTGGCACATCAACCCAGTCCCCAGATTAAATGAAATTAGCAAGCAGGCAGTTCAAAACTAACTTCAGGGACTACTTGCTTCCTCCCTCCTGGAATTCGGCTGGGGGATCTGGAACAGTGCAAAGTGGCAGAGCCTAAAAAAACACCTGGGATCCAAACACAACCTCACAGATCCACAGAAAGGGAAAGCATAGCCAAGACTACTTAACAAAGAAGCCAGCAGTGACTCAGGTGTCCATCTGTGGAGCATGAGAGGTTGATCTGGGAAGTAATCACATGCTCCACTCTCCTCTCTTGGTACCAGCTGTCAGTCACTCGATGGGACAGGATATGGGACTGCTATGCCGTCCCTAAATCTCTAGACCTAAGCTGGTCCTTGATCCACAGATACTGACATTTTGATGTGTTTTCTATATTTATGTTCCTGCACCCTGCAAGTTGAAGAATAAGCCCAACTCCAGGGTCATTCCTTTGTATATTTTGTGTCCTTGCCTTAAGACACCTCTTTAACACTGTACCTAGACATCTGGCTCCAATCTGAACACAGGCAGTCTCCACCACATCTATCTTCACAAAGCTCTCAAAGAGGAACAAGAAGGCCAAATTGGAAGGCCAAAGGTACTAAAGCCCAAGTGTGACTAAAACCAGAATTTACATATAAGCCCAAGCCTTTTTCACTGTAGCCAAAATGTGCACTCAACAGTACCCACCTTCACTTTGGAGCACTGGCTGCCTGGCAGCTCTACCCTGCCAGCACAACAAGGTGATCCTCAGGAGCACAGAAAGCTCAATACAGCCCTGGGCATATTGAGTTGTGCAAGAAAAAGCACTCTGGACACACTATTTTCTCTACCAGAAATGCAAGCATATTGGTATGTAGCCACTTAGTTCCCACGGATACAGAAACTAAAGATTTTGTCCATGTTTTCCCAGGAAGCTTGTGGCACAGCAAGCATTAAATCAATACCAACTTTTGCTTGCCTTTGTGTAAGTTTGCATTAACTTCCAAGGATATCAAAAACTTGACAACTATATCCTGAATTGGAACAGCCTTAAAGAACAACTTAAGTTACCTAAACCACTCAAGAAATGCTGAAATTATTCTTATATTCAGGCCTATATTTGCAACTGCTAATGTGAAATAAAATTCTTATGGAAATTTATACAGTAGCGAGGGTAAAGACTGTAATAGCAGCAGCAGTTTCTGTTACCAGGGTTACCAAATCTAGAAGGAAAACAAAAAACCTGCTGACAATGATTTACAGAGAGATATACGTAAACATTCATGTAGACAAGAAATTTATATTTTATATTCAGTGAGTTTTAGTGGTGCAACATTAAAGACTGCTACTATTGAAGCTGAACCAAAACAATGTGAAGAAAGTTAATGAACAGCCACACCAAATGGCATATGTCTGATTTCTTACCTGAAGTGTGTTCTGTTCCTCCATCCACCATTACTGCTGTCCCAGGGCAATGCTTCAGCAACCACATAAAAAAGATCTGGTAAACTCCTAAGTGTTTAAAAAGAAAAAGCATGTTACACAATATAAAAGCCACCAAATCCATTGCAAATAGAATAACAATACTTCAGAATTCAGTGTGACACTGAATTTGCAAGGATTTCTTTTTTTTTTTTTTAGTTCTGATGATTTAGACTTTCTCCATGTATTCAAAGTTGTGATACATTCTGCTGAGGCAGTATCAGAACCACAAGTAACACAACTACTAACAAGACTAATTATAGATAGAAAAATCAACATGACATGTAAAAATAGAATAATCAAAAAAGAAACAGTAATCCACAGTTGGTTTGATGATTTGGCACCTACGCTCCATCTACATATTTACTTCTTGATATTAATTCACAGTAATTTTATAGAAATATTTCAGTTCTCACAGAAAAAAGAAATAACATTTTCAAATTATGGTTGTATTTTACAGAAAGAATGACTTATGCTAAAATTGAAATACATCTTTCCTTTATATTTTTCCTTTCTTTTCAGGTGGAAAGCTCTGTGTTTAAGTGTCCAGGTACAAAGAATACCTTAAAATTCTGGACACAGCTATGTTTGGTGGTGCATTTTGACTTTAGAACCACAACATGAGTACATTAAAAAGCTCTGCAACTTACATCAGTTAAATGATATCTCTGCGAAGTCTTCTTTTTATAAATCAAATACTGAATTGGAAAGAATGTGCACTTGCTAGCGTAACATGCATCTGCTTGGTTAACAGAGTAATGATACAGATGGGAAATTAACCTTTCAGATTTCAGGTACTGCAGTTAACTCCCATGCCTGTAAGCATAGTACCATAAACTTCATGGACATAACAAGATTTCTAGGGCACAGGAAAAGTCCTTCTTCATTACAGCACACGGATTGGTCTCCTCTCACAAAGGACAGCATATTTTACTGTTGAACTACATCTATAACACAAATCTCCTCCCTGCTGCACATTATAAAACTATCTTCCTCATATCAAAGGTACACAATGCAATCTCCACATAGGTGCCGCTCCATTTCCAGCAATCTGCAGCACACGGAAGAGCATTCTGACTTCTGCTGCTTCAATGCAGTTGCTTCTCATGGACAGTCCAGCTGCCTACTCCAGTGAGGGTTAGTGAAGCATCACTCAGGATAGGGCTACAACTGTGTTTGCCTGTACTTCATTTACAAAGAGATGAAGTTTACAAAATCCACAAGCAGATATCTATGTCATCATCTACAAAACTTGAAATGTTTTATCTAATATTAGCTTTTCTATTTTATGTCTTTTCATGTCACCCCAATTTTACATAACTGTCTGAAAGCCTAGACATCCTCACCCCCAATTATGCAGCAGAGGCTTCAGTCTATCTCTGTGTTAAGAAATAAAATACAGCAGGATCAGGTAATATTCTTATTTCATTAGTGATACTTCTCATATTTGTTCAGTTTACAAATTAAATCAATAAATCAATCAGATAAAGTTAGCTTTATCCGGAATGCATCTCATAAACTTGGTGTACATTAAAGCTATTACATAGCAGCTGGAGACCCTAAATTACAGTTCCCAATCCATGTTTAAATCCCACTAGTGTGAATTCAACAATGAGCCAGTGAAGACCTAGCATATACAGAGATACCTGACAGTTGTACCATTGCCTGCAGTGGCTTTGGTCTATAACTTTCATCTTATAATGCTAAGGTCTTGAAAAATCTAGCCAAAATATCAGCCAAATTTTTCAACAAAACGTGCTGTTAAATCTCAAGTCTCTTCCAACAGAATCTCTGCAATTTATGCAAGAAGACCCAACAGAAGCATCTCTAAAGCTGAAGCTGCTTACCTGAACATAAGCCATTAAAAAAAAAAAAAACAAACACCAAGGATAAAATTAGTTGATAGAAGAGCATACCTAATTTATTTAACTGCAATCCCTAACTTTAGAGGATAATTGCCACTTGTGACTAATTAAAGCCACATGAAGTATTGAACAAGAGACCATCAAAAACATTTGGCTCAAAGAGTGCTGGAGCAAAGGTATAGTGAAGAACAAAAGTTCATGTGGAATTCTACTCAGACTGTGGCTCATAGGCCATCTCTAAGGACTATTGGTAGTCCCTACAGTTTCAGGAGCTCCACAAAAATAATCATGAAGAGGGAAAAAAAACCCAAAAAACACATTCCTGAGCATGCAAGCAAGAAAACTAGAGAGAAATAAGAGTAGGTCACCACTTAAAGGTGAGTGTGATTCTCATCTGGTCGCAAATCAGAAACATTGTTGAAACAAAGCACAATGTTACCTATACATTTTTCTTTTCTCTGAAAAAAAAAGTATTCTGTTACCTACTGATGAAAGAGATTGATGAATCCTTTTACAAGTTATTATTTCTTTGGAAATATATACTAGGCGCATAAGCATGCCTCATAGGGGCAAAATCTTTGAAGCAAAAGCAAGGAACACAAAAGCACAAGACAGAATCCAAAATGTTTTCCAGCCCTTGGTGCTAAGTGTGGGCACAAGCAGAACCTCAGATCATTTTGGGGAGACCAGCCTTCATGCCTTGGCTTCAACATCAGGAGCTCCCAGCAAGTAACACAGATGGGCACTGTGGCATTTTTTAGACAAGGGCTTATGATGGTCACCGATCTACCAACCAGGACCTGTTTGTTTACCACTTCCAAAGCCCAAATGAAGCAAAAGACAAAGCTAATATCAAGATTTAACCTTTAAAATTCAACAAGTTTCATCTGTTTGATTTCTGAAGCCAACCAGGGCAGTCACATTAGTCAATTTTAATTATCTGACTTCCTTCCCAAGGAAACGCATACAAGTATTGCTTTGTCTGCTGCCTGAGGCTGGCAGTCCTAAAATTCTGGGGAGAGAGTCAGGATCACTAAGATCAAAATCCTTCCACCCTCTCCTTGCATTTCCATCAGAGACAGGAGAGCCCTAAAGGATCAGACTATTGCCCTGAGCAGTGGCTTGGCCCTTCAGACCATTTGCTTGAGTGGAAAGCAGCTGTACCACAGTCATCAACAGCCAACTGAGGTATTACTGAGTGAGGAAGCCCCTGCCAGCAGCCCCTCTGCTCTCCCCCATTCCTGAGCAGAGGTGCTGCTTGGAGATGGGACAATGAGGTCTATATATGCAACTGAAGAGGGTCACTCACCCTAGAAATCCTCCTTTTCTGCCAGGAATCATTAAAAGCTGTTTGTGCTAGCTGTGGAAATGAGTCGTGCTCTTCTGGAGCAATCAGATGTATCCTGTGGGTACCCTGGCTGCCAGGCTCAGTTCCAGCATCACTGTCTACATGATGCCCCTTCTTCCCTCACACCAAGCAAAGTTTTGGGGCAGGATATTGCATGAAATGCATCAGAAAACATTTTTTTTTTTCATAAATACTATCAATGCTTCTCAAAAGAACTAGACTAGGAATTATTTCACAAGAAAAGATCATTTGTAGGCCAGGGACTAAAGAACTACCATGAACTAGGTCAATCCCATCATTTGTTACTGTTCAAAAGTAAAATAACAGCGGGAAGAGAGGGTCAGGGTGGAATAATCATTTGTTAACAATTTTAATAGTAAAGCTTTATTGGTTTTCCCCATGGATTCTCATAGTTATTATAGTGAAATTAAGTGTTTTTCCTCCAAGTGAACTCTTGTTAATCCTTTTATTTAGGTTCAGAGCTACAGTACATGACCCTGCAAGAACATTCATCTACAGTCACAGCTGGAGCTGCAGACTCACTGGCTTGAAGGAATTAATTTCTTTGCAAGGCAGAAGCAACTAAAAAGTCAAAGGCTTATGGATAGGAAAATCTGAATTTCACCAACTTGTCCAAAGAACAGAACAAACCAAAAATCTATAATCAAACATCTCATCAAAGAGCAGATGTGAAAAAACTCTGGCACATTAGACGCATTCAGTCTTGGGGGGGAGGAATATTCTGATGGTTTGGCATACCACATAACAATCTTTAGCTTTAAAAAACACAACAAAAAACCCCTGAATTTTATAACCAGATTAAATTTTACTCCAATGAATTGGGACAAAGAGGTCATTCAGATTCCACAGTGCTTAAGCCCACCCACCCAGGCCTTCTCTTATCTCAAACCTTTGACAGTAACTTACTCATTTGCAAGATTTATCTGAAGCCAGTTATAACACTACCAAGAGAAAAGCCTGTTCTTGCTTCACCTTGGTTGTCAATTTCTCTGTCCATTTTCTCCTATGTAAGTAAATAACAACAGAAGTGTGAAGAATGCTGGAAAGTCAGATTGTTTGGGCATAGTAGAAAAGATTGTCACCAAAAAAAATATTACAAAGCAAAACCTTGGCTATCAGGTCACCAAGTGTAGACATTGAAATGGGTCATGAGCAGGCAGAACTTAAAACATGAGTGACAACCTGCACTGGGAATCTAAAATCTGGATTTTCTGTTTTTGATGGTATTCAAGAAAGGGCTACAAAATCAGTTTTCAAGAGTTTCATTTTCTCAATATTAAAAAAAAAAAGGAAAAGAAAATTTGTAACGCAGTGTTCAGATTCAACACTTCTTATAAGAAGCCTTAGATTAGCATTCGCCTGTTTTATCATGCTCTTGTTTTATATAGAATGCAATGAGACATTATTAACTTGATCATGCATGGGTACAGTCAGCACCTTTCTAATTATATGAAAGTTTGACCCATTAAACTGATCAGAAATATTTGTATATCCACAAGCATTCACAGCAATTTATTTTGAGCATATTGCACTGAAATATTTACTTACGCTTTCTGAAGCTGAGCATCCCTGACACTTTTGAGACCTCAATATCTTGAATTTTTCAAATCACTGCTTTCCTAACCAGGAAATAAAGAGACATAAAAGCTTCATTTAATGAAAATTATTTAGAAGCAGATTTTTTTTTTTTTTTGAGGAGACTCTAAACACAGAAAACCCAGAGTACTTTTAATTCTTGCCCATATTTTAATTTAAGTATTGAACTTGGTTACACTTGGAACAGATTTCCAGCACAT